ATTATGAAATAGCCACAGTAAAAAAATTTAATGTTTATTTTTGAGAGAGAAAGAAGGAGAGGGTGTGTGTGCAGGAGAGGCAGAGAAGGAGACAGAGGATCCCAAGCAGGCTCCGTGCTAATAGCAGAGAGCCCGACGCCAGGCTTGAACCCAAGAACCACGAGCAGAGAAGTCTGACGCTTAACTGAATGAGCCACCCAAGCTCCCCTAAAATAGCTGCATTTTTATGTTTACTTTCATACCACCAACAGAAAAACCCAGAAATTGTTACACAAGAGTGCTAACACTACCTCACTTGGTTTAAAAAATCATCTTTGCAGGGCACACATGTATTGCCACGGACAGTATCTGCAAACCTGAGCTTAGCATCAAAAAGAAACGGCTTTATTGCAAGTCAGAGCTGCTTTAATTTAATGAACTAATATTAAAAAGATTCACATAATTTATCTCTCACCGTCTTTCAGCTGGAAAGTATTCATTAAGGAAAATATGTGCTAATGTTAGCAGCATAAATAGAACTCCAAATAAGGAAGAACACAATGAACATCCTAAAAGCCCTGTGCTTTCCTGAAAGGATTCACTGCTTACCTTGTCCCTGTGGCAGTGGGCCACCCCCATCACAGCCGCCCAAGTCCCTTACTGCCATCACTTTAGTGCTTGATGAGGGCTCCAAAGACGAGCCTGTTGCTGGCTTTCATGACACTGCTGATAGTGAGGGGATGCTAACTGCTTTGGAAAAGTTTTGAATCAGTTCCAGTTTGGTGGTTTCGAAGCTTGATCTATTTTAGTATTGACTTCCTTTTTATTCCCTCTAGAAAAATGGATCTTTGAATTATTAGAAAAAAAAGTCAGCCTAAGTGAGTTCCAAATCTCAATCTAAATAGCCTTGAAGCAGCTAAATACAAACAGATCAAGAAAAAGAGACTATATTTTTCTTTCTACTACCCATTGAGTAGGGGGTGTGTCCTAAGACATATTAGAAAAATTCTTCACATTGCACGTGGTGCACATTTGCACATTTGCACCAATAAACTAAGTGACCTTGAGCAAAGTCTCATTCTCCTTCAGCGTCTTGGTTCCTCATATACAGAATATGGCATTAGATGAAATTATTGCGAAATCCCTTCTTACTCTGAAAATTAACTACTAATCAATCATATTTTTATAACTTTGCCTGATAATGTTTGATATTATAGGAAATGTATGGGAAATCTGAAGGAACAGGGAAGCTTTGCCTAAAATGTTCAGAAAATTCTTGAGTCGTAGAGAAGTTGTTCTTAAAGTTGGCTTTTAAGCATTAATGGTTAGGACATGAAATAGCATTTTAACAAATTATAAAGAATTTTCACAGCACATTTATAAAGATTATCCTCAAGTGAAATCTGTAGACTCCTCCATTGAAGTAAAATAAAGCAATAGAGAATTAAAAAGAATTAAAATATTCCACATATTTACTTTTTAAAATACCCAAACCTATACATAAGAAATTGGCCCAGGGGAATATATTACTCGATTTGATGGCTCCCTTGCCAGACAATGTCCTATATAATCTATGGACATTTACCAAATTTAAGTTAGTCAGTAGATAAAATGTTCATAATTGTATATTGATAAATCTAATGTTACCAAGTTTTTTTTTGTTTGTTTCTTTTGGAGGGTTTTTTAAAAAATTTCTTCTCCACAATGCATTGAAATATATTAGTTCTTTCATATTCCAAACTTCCCTGGTCAAAAATAACAATATCTCCCAACAACACATCCTGGAATAGGAAGAGGGGGAGAGAAAATAAAATATTAGATCTTATAATGATTTTATTTTACAATTAAAGTTAGTTTAGTGTACCTTTTAATCCAGCTTTTTTTCTGAATTGATTTTAACCCCTAAGTAAGAGATTATTCATATAGGAAGCACTAATGTGATTTACAGTCACTACATTTAAAATTTTGTAATTGTATGTTTTGCAATAAATAGATGGTGAAAATTAATTTTGTGGAAATGTTTTAGATGCACACATCAAAAATTAGAGACTCGGAGTGCTATCCTCTTCAAATAGTAGGGCTCTTAAGCCAATGAGTGGGCATTGATCAAAATAGTACTAAAAGTAATTTTTGGAATTTTTTTCACAATCTGTGACATGTTCCTTAAACTACACAGACTGCCATCAAAATCTGAAAACGTTTTTCCTTGGAGAATTATTTTGGTTCGAGAAACAATGAGAATTCATTCCAAGTCAAGTCTAATGTATAAACTGAGGATCGTATAATGCCATTTTGGGGGTCTAAAATCATGATGCTAAGATAAAAAGACTGACCTTCTTGTGTGCCTAATAGAAGAAATGTCCAAATCAAGGACTCTGTAGGCAAAACCCAATGGGTTGGAACCAAGTGTAAAATCTCTCTGTATACAAATGGCAAACCTGGGAGAAAATAATCAACTGGCTGGGACCCAAGCTTCAGACTCTAGTCTTGGTCCAGTTTCTAACTACTGAGTTCATAGGTTTTTTTTTTCTCTTTCAAGATACAAATGCAGGAAAAAAACATAAAAGTGTTGCCATAAAGTAATGAGTATATAGTCTATTAGAAAGTAGCCAATTAGTGTGGATAGACCCAAATGTGTAATGTCCTTCAAATGGGCTGGCTATCTTGGAGCCCATACATCCAGTTCACCAATACTACTCTTTGTTAAAAACTTATTTTGAAGCTCCTTTTTAGAATGATCTTCTGAATACGTTCATGAACCACACAAGAAGTTTAACCACATGGTTATATCACCCAGTCTCTTGTAATTTTTCTCTTCTTTTTCTTCCTCTTCTTTACCTAAAACAAGCCAGGTCATGTATCTTTTCACCAGTATTGGCACTGAATGATAATACAAATTCTCTCAATACACAATAATTGGACTTCATTGCAGATTTGTAAATAGGACGTCCATCAAGAGAGTAATTTTAAAGAGAAGAATGGCTACACAAATGGAGTAAATACAGACTCTTGAGGTGATGCCTTTGAATGAAAATACTGATTTGAAAATGTAAGTTTGGGTCTGTTGGTTAGATTGATCTCAAACTTTATACTCAAACCTGATATGTTTTATACCATTTTGGTACCCAAAGTCAGGAGGCAATTATATGGTGCACAAATGGAATTTGCCAGTGGAATTGCTTATAGCATCTTAGAAGGAAGTAACTAAATGGAAAAAAAGATATTTAGTGAGTATTTTTAAAGGATTGGATATGTTCTACTAGATTAAGACATGAATTTTTAATTCACACATATGTTCCCTTAGAAAGACAAAGATTATATTCTCAAGGAATTAGCCTCATGTGAAAACACTAGCATTTCAAAGAGTTCTATCACATATCCTATGTGAGATACAGGGAAAAGTGGGAAGTGGAAACATTCCTTGAAAAGTTCTAAATCTATGAGGGATAGAAGGTAATTAAATTATCCACAAAATAAAGTTTAACTTCCTGGTACAAAACAAATTGGAAAAGAACAATCTCCTGTTACACCCCCAAGGAAAACAGGAAAAAACATCTTTAGTTTTCACTTTCCTTCAAATTTAGTAGTGCACATTCTTCAGTTTGATTATTTGCTGGGGAAAAAATGGAAACTATTACTTTTTTCGTTAACTGAAGAATGAACACTGTGTAACTTTACAAAATGAGGGTTGCAATAAAATGGATACTCAAGCTTAGACCCTTCCTTTGTGTTTGGGTTCATAATTTTTTCTCTGCTTTTGCATGTCTGGAACTCACACAATATCAAGTGTATCCTAATTTTAGATAAATTAATACATTACACAATCTTCTTAACAAGCAGAGATTTGATTATTTTTTTCATATTAAAATAAACCAGCACAACAATTAAGAAGGCACAGCATAGGACATATTTATTTTTTATAGAATCATTTAAATTAACCCTGTTCCCCTTTGCAAGCATGGATATATCAAACCATATTTCTAAATATATCCTGAACACTTTGCTTTCAAAATAAACTCCAATGAGAAAGAACACAATTAATACCTCATTTAGATCTTTAACATGCACACACTATATATTTTGGCTTTCTAAAGTAATGGAGTCAGGATCATTTTATAGTTTAAACATGTAAGAAACATTTGACACTTGTAATCAAGGCTTCAGAGATGCCTGCGTGTGTTATTTTAAATACTTTCTGCATCTGTGATCATTTCTACTTCTCCTTAGGCATGAAGCTTTCCTGCCCATCGTTCCCTCTCTCTCTCTCTCTCTTTCTCTCTCTCCACACACACACACACACACACACACACACACACACATACACACACACACACACACACACACACACACACACACACACACACACACTGCATCCCCCAAAGTAAATAAGATGATCAATTAAGCAAAATAAGTGTTCAATTAAATACAAAAGAAAATCAATCAACTTGTTAAATTGATTATTACACTTATTTCAAGATATTCCACCATATCTTCAGCATCAAGTCATTTCAGTCAATTAGAATGATCAGTGAAAGGGAAAAAAAAATGTTTGCCCATATGCCAGAAATCCTATGTAATAATGACTAGAGATTGTGTTGGTTTTTTGACAAGATGTTCCTAAATAACTAAAAAAAAAAAAACAAACCTATTGATATAAATGCGACCATTTTGCTTTCTTTGGGGGAATTTTTTTAGTGAGAAAGTTGGCAAGAAAAAGAGATCTTGATGTTACCTGAAATATTCTTAAGTATACTAAAATGGGCACCTTGTTCACATACCTCATTGCACATTCTCCTCATTATTTCATTTAGCCATTCCTGTGACTTTGATTCTCACTACAACACTTTAAGGTGAATGTATATACATCACACACACAAATATCATCTCAGCATACAAAACAACAAGGTTATCTGAAACAAATATGGAATTCATAGCTATGTGTCCTTTTAGAATGATATTTGCAAATGGTCACATTACACACCTGTGATTTGCTCCAAATAAATTTAAGATGATAGCATTACCTTTTTAAACCTGCAGATTCTTCCTTCTGTAAGCTTTGGCTCCAGCAAATCTCAGCTATTCTTATTACAGCCCTTTCTCACATGCTCCCAAGTGAGGAACGATTTGCAAAGCTTTTTGGCAAGGCGTGTTGTTAAAGCTGAGCTCTTCATCTGATAAACATTTTCGCTATAATACAGTGGTTTTTTTTTTATTTTAATCTTTTGTTTTAAATAACTGACAAAATTCTAAACTATACAAAGAAAAGAAAAAAAAAAGCCAGGGGTAATTATTATCTTCACCAAAATATTCACCATAATATCATTCAAATAACAAATTTCCTTTCTTGCTTCCATACAAGTGGTCTAGCTAACATTTTCATATGATTGACTATCCTATAACCTTTACAGTTTTGTTTACAAAGGGCATACAGTGATGTGGGAATGTTCTAATAACATGCTTTGGAACAAAAGAGCCAAATGCCAAATTATATGAAATTTTTAATATAAATTTTTATAAGAAGTAAAATCCTAAGAGGAAAAAAAAGACTGGAAGGAAATATTTTAAAATATATCCAGTAGTTGCCTACGGTTGTTAGGATTGTAGATAATTTATTTTCTTATCACACATTGGTCCTATTTTTCCAGATTTTACACAATGGGTTAAAAAAGGAAAAAATAATTACTAGTGTGTTTATCTTTGAACAAAAAGGACTCAGTGAGAAACTTTTCAAGTGTTACTTCTCTTGTAAAGTCAAGGGAGTCATAAAAGCTTTTTTTTAAAGTCACAAAAAAGTTTTCTTAACAGATTCAAACAATTTGAGTAGAGGCTAGATCATCTGTGTGATTTAAAGCCTCTGAGAGCAAATTCCTAATTGTATGGAAAATTGTATCAACCAAATACTACCAAAGGAGAGTGTGTTGATATTTTAGAATTCTTGTTTGACAATGCCATTATTATCCTGCGATAGTTTTGTTATTTAACCAAACTATTTGTGTCACAATTTAAAAATTTTATATACAGCTAAAGATAATTTTAAAAATACCTATGCCTTTTCCAGGCATATACTTAAAAAATTCCTAGTTGACCAGCAGAGTTCTCTCTTCCTTGAATTACATTCTACACTTTTCTAATTTTGAGGTATCATCCATATATTTGGTAAGCAAATTGTTAAGGGACTTTTTTCAAATAGAGATAATAGTATTTTGGGTTTTTATATGATTAGCAATTCTTTCGATACTACTTTCATTAAAAGAAATCAAGGTCTTATGCCAATTTAATTTTTTACAGGAAAAAAAATGTTACATCAATCTTCCTCATACGTGCTTCTTGATTCTTTTACATAGACTAAAATGGAATTTCTAAACATTAAGTATTGATTATATTGTTTAAAGGCATACATAATAATTTAATACTCTCTCCCCAAATTGTATGCAGAAAGTAGATGAAACCTAGAGAGAAAGGCAAGTGAAAATGTTCTGGGGTTCATTTGTGTAGTGTGTACTCAGCAATTTTAAAATACTAATTTTGTTCCATTTAATGGTAAAGAAATATTTCTTTCCCCTCCTTTGCCTAAAGGTCATCTGTAATTGAAGACAAGTTAGCAACAGTCCAGAGGCTGAGTCTGGCTTTGATCTAGGTGTCCAGCCTTTCTAAGTGCAAATCATTCTGGGCAGAATGGGAGGAGTCACATCAATGAATTGGTTGCCTTACTAAAGGTTATCGAGATCCCCTCTTCACCCTTCCCTGGCCTCCTCCCTCTGCCCACTCTTTGTGAACACCTCTGCATTTCTGTAGCAGTTTGACTTTGTCTTGCAGAAGTTGTATTCAGGTATAATACTAAGTCTTAATTCTGTTCTTCTTTATTTATTCTCGGTTACCCCGATTTTACTCTGAGATTCATGTTGTGTGTTTTCATCTCCAACCACCCTTATCAAATCATTTAAAAAAAAATATATATATATATATGGCATATATATATATATATGGCACATGTTATTTGATTTTGGATAAGCAGAATATTCTCATGCTCAAAAAAAGAGTATGATATCATTTGTGATTCATTATAATGCTTTCATTCAAGCTTTAGGGCAATAAAATTGATACTATGGGTTTTCTTTTGAAATAAAAGGAATAGCACTAAGTGTTCTGAATTAGAATATATCCTGGAAAATGTTAAACCCATACATGTAGGGACCTTTTTGGAAATGTTTTTATTTATAAAAAATTAATAAAACCGGGAAAAAGATTAAAGTTATTCTAAATAGCCTTTTACTGATTATTTAGGCTGCCTTGTACAGTTTGAAAATTTGGCACTAATTTTATCAAACCTCTTATAAATCATTGTCAGAGTAATGTTGAACAGTCATTTTGAATTACACTATATCCAATTATTTTTATAATCAAATATTTCATCAATTACAGCATGCATTAATCTTTTATCCCATTTAGGTAAAAATAAGTGAGCTATTTCCAAAAGCATTGCTTCTTGTAGGTGCTTTTGCATGACCAATTTATGTTCACAGAATTTTGCACTTTTTCCTATTACACAAACATCTTTTTATTGAAGCATTGATAGCTTTACTTTCAAGTTACCTACTATTTAATAAACTAAATGTATTTACAAAACACTTTAAATATTTTTCTAAACTTAAAGACATTAAGATGCTAGCCATATATTTCTTTCAAGTGATGTCGTAAAGTTGTAGGGCAAATTCTTTTGGAGAAGAATACATTCTTGTGACAAATAGTTACAGATGCTTCTATTTATTTCTTCAGTGATTCAATTGTCTCAAAGAGTTTAGTACAGATACACTAAATTTTGCATTTCAAATGTCTATAGAATTTTTGTGGTATAAAGTGAGTGTTTACTATTGCCTCACTAGAATGACAATATGTATTTTTTATATTACATACCTTTCTTTTGGGGTCATTCCATTTCCTTTAACACACTGATTCTGCAGCGTGTTTTAATAATGACAAGACTCTAATTGCTCGTCTGTCTGTACTATGTGGTTAAGATAAAGTGAAATATAATTTAATGGAGCATTGTGTGTCAACTATACTTCAATAAAAAAAACCAAAATATAATTTGAGTATATGTTGAATGGATTTAGTTTATAGGTTTATAATTTTTGCACTATTTACTATCAGTGTGAATATTTTTCTATTACGTCATGTGCTATGATCACTTTTGTGGTAGCATCATGAAACACCAAAATAAGTTTATTGCCTTTAATCAGCTGTGTAAAAGCAAACCTCAGGGTACATAGAAAATAATTATATTTATACATGACTCTGTACTTATTATATTTATATATAATTTTTGTTTTTAACATTTTGAATAACAAATTCTTTTAAAAAATCTATCAACATAGAAACATGCATTTACTTTTTTAATCATGGCAGGACCATTTTCCAGAGCACTGTATCTTACAATTGAACCCAATATTGCTATTGAATAATATTAAAGTTAATAATTGAAAATAAATTTTCATTTTGAAAAATTCCCTGCATTTTCCTATTTTCTAATAAAATATTATTTCATTTTTATGGCACCATAATTAATCACCTTTGCCTGTGTAGCCTGATCATATATTACGCTTGCTTTCCTGCAAATATCCAATTCTAATGCTAACAAATAGAGAAAGATTTTGAGTGTAATACTTTATCCCCAGGAAAAACTCTTCTTGCTTTTGTCTGAATGTCATCTATAAAGCAAGAGATGGTTATTTTTCCAAACATGTGATCAATAAGTGTCCATTTTCATATCATTGTTAGTAATAGACGCAATCTCATTTAGGAGCAAGGCCATTTTAATGTAAGTGTATCCTAGTATAGAAAGAAGCTTGTCACACTCCTCCCTAAGAGTGAAGGATTTCAGTTCCCCTTTATGCAGACATTTGCACCTAGTATTTTCCAATTCTGTAATGCAAACATTCACGGAGAGGTTAAATTCAATGTTGGCTTTGCAATATGTAGCAGAAGAGCTGCACGCATTTTGCACAGGCTTCGTTGAATTTAACCCTGGGTCAACAGACATGTTTAAATGTGGACTTGAACATAAATGATGTCTACCAAAAGAAAGTAAACGAGTGTGAAGTTTTTATAAAATGTCACAATTGATATAAGAGCAAGATCTCAAAGCGGGGCGTGGGGGGTGTGGGGAAGGTGGGGAATGATGTTCCAAAATCACTGGGTTGAGCTCATATTTCATCATTTTAATTTGGTTACTATACCGAATCACAAGTAGCCAAATTGGAGTGACAACTATCCACTAACATCCCCTCTCCTACGTTCCTGATCTGTTCTCTCACTTTCCACCTCTTCTGTTTCCAGGCAGTTGTACCATATGAAACTGACAGCAATTGTTCTGATTCATGGTTTAGGAGGAGTAGCTGATTAATCCCATGTCAGCAGTCTTGACCCTATGTGGAAAATAGAACCTCAGACGGCCCCCTCAACAATCTATCAGGGAGTAGAGTGCTGTTGCTTCCTTGCTCTCAAATGTAATGAAAGTTTAGGGCAATACTGAACAGTGATTTGATCGCCCCCCACCCCTTTTAACCTATGTTTCAAAAGAACATCCTGGCGTGGGGTGGCAATGTAATGAGGGGAGGGAATGAACGATTAAGATTCCGAGGCGAAATCTTATGTTTCCAACTATTTCATTTGCGTTTTCCATGAAATGCCTTGAAACATGTTTTTTCCCTTAAGCATAATTACTGATTAAAAAAAAAAATAGCCGGTCGTATGTGTTTCTTTCAAATCTTTACGTTTTCAACCTAGCCACTTATTTTCCCCTCCAATGACTATAGAATGTTCTTCCACCTTTTAGGGAGAGATCTAATTGTACTTATTAGAAAATAATTGCAAATAAACTCCAAATGTTAGAGCCACGTGCAATATGACATGCTCAATTTTAAAGAAAAAATGTACATGTTTTATTTTAAAAACACAAAAGACAAGCTTTGAGGAACCACTTTGATGTTTAAGATCACATTTTTTCACAAAAGCCCTAACGTGGGCATGGATTTCTGCTATGAATTAGGAGAAAACCTAAGACTCTGTATTATGTTCTTGGAACTTACAATTAAAATAAAGGGATAAAGTGGAATTACA